CTTGAATGGCACTCCTGTCGTCGCTGTTTTTACATCAACTTCTATTGAAAAAAACTTAATCTTGTATGTTTGTCATTTCTTCCAAAGGAAAATCAAAGGACGACGTGTTCACCTTCACACCAGCCTCCAAGGCAGCCTTCTTCCTATTTCAAGTCAGTAACCTGTTTATATGTTCCGTCCTTTTTTACCTCCCTGCATGACTGGTTTTCATTGTTGACCATCAACTTTCCGTTTTGTATATCCGAATTACCGCTATAATATCAGACCCTGCGCCCTGCCCTTATGTTACCTGATGCTTTTTTTTCGCAGCTTATCCTGTTTCCTATGTTGTGGACTGACTGATTAGAGGAGACTGTAAAGCCCACACTAACCGTCGTCACTTTTTTTCACGCCGTTGCAACAACAACTAGGCGGAGAATAATTTTTGTGTGTATCCGTGATATTTTCCACAACACAAACTTGGAAACTAAGAGCTGAGAACGCCCTTAAGTATTCATTTGCCTGATAAACATAGTCAGACTAAATTATTTCCAGCTTATTCGTAGTGGAGAGGTGCTTTGCCAGTCAGGTATTCGGACAACTAACCATGTACTTAACCTTCAAAACCTGCAACGAGCTGGTTATGTACCGTTTTAAAGATGTCTCCGGCACCTTGTAGAACTTTTCGAAGCCGATATAGAATTTCAGAAAAAAATGTGTCTAAAGCATTGAGTGGGTAGAGGAAAACACACTCAGCATTTACCTGAGCACTGTATGACTTGTCCTTTAGTTAACTATGATGCAACTGCGTGAACCTGCTACAGTAATGTTATTAAATTTGTGTCCCGGTAATTTGCCTCAACCTCCGGCCCCCTAAGTGCTAGTTTAACCCGTTAGGAATGTATGTCAGATCACCCAGGTGTTAACAAGACCCCTGGGATACGTGGATGTACCCCCTCAAAGTCAACTATTAGTCACAGCTAATGTGCATAGATCAGGTTCTACTGATAACTGTACACTGATGCCAATCTAGAAAAAAGTGGTTCGAAAAGTGCATTACGAAAATTTGATGAGACGAGCGCTCAGCCTACTCCTCCTGTAGATTCCATATTCCCTGGAGAATTTGTCGCAAAGGAGGTCTCACCTAGGAATGTTACTCGCTATCACGCTATACAAGCGATAACAGTAACACATCTTGATATTTGCTTGCCTCCTGGGTAGACAGCCGGTGATGCCTATTACTCAGTAGTTATTTACATTAACTGTTCTTCCTGAAATGACGTACTTCATTCCACACTTCGTACTCTTGCACTATGAAGGATCAGACGCGTAAGATTTTTTTGAATTTGAAAACTAAACCTTTAAGCAGCGTTGAACAAAGCTGCCTGGAGCATCGTCCGTTCGGATTTGCTGACCGTATTGCGACACCTCTGTAATTCAGGCCTTAGGTACCATTCTCTTATACCAACTCTTGCAGTATATGTGCTCACCATCCAGAGTCTTTGTGGTCTAATTTCGGAATTCGAGCAACTGGTCATAGGAACGATGTTTACGAGAGGGTGATTAGTTAGCTCTGCCTGCTGCAAGATAGTTATAGTTTGACTTAGTCGTATAAACTCTACCGTCTTGATCACGTGTAGGCTCTGCT